ACAAGCCTTGACTGACAGGTATAAGTCAGTGACTCAATATGACTAAGGGCTCAAGCCTTAGTCACTGGGGAATTGAACTGAAATAAGGACCATAAAAACAGGGAGTAGCTGGGAGACAGTTAATGTGGGGTTTCACATTTGTGGGCTATGGGTACCAGAGGACACCCATGGCTCATGGGTGGAAAGATTTGGATGCAGAGCTAAAAGGAAAAGGAGGCCAAGAATTTGCCATGCTAACAGACCTCTGTCCTTTTGTTCCAGACACGAACAAGTTTCTTGCCTTAAAAAAAATTCATTCTTGGTTCATTCTTGTAATCCCAACACTTGGCATGAGGCAGGAGAATCTCAAATTGAAAGCTTGCTGGACTACACAGTGAAACTGTCTCAAAATAGGAAGTGGCAAGAACTGGCTGGTTATCTCAGTGGCCAAGTGCTTGTCTAATATGTCAGAGACCCTATGTTCAGTCCCCAACCCCAATATGTAAACCCTCCATGGGATGGTGCAGTTGCCCCTGGCTGTTGTGTTTTTTCCTTATGCAAGGTCTCAAGAGTGTGCCTTTCTGACACCAATTTCAACATTCAACACTGTAAACACTTCCTCCTGAGAACGCTCTCCTCCTTAAACCTCATTTGCTTTCTGGTTTTCTCTCAGATGAATATTTCTCCATTTTAGCCACAGTATCCAATTTAACACACACACACACACACACACAATCTAGGTCAGTGAAAATGCTTTCTGTTTGTTCCTTACAACAGCCACTAACCACACACAACCATTAGTACTTGAAATATGACCAGTATGGCCAGGAGATTGACTTATTTTATTTTAATGAATATAAATTTAAATGGCTGCCTGTGGCCAAGGGCTAACATATTGAACAGTACTGCTTTGAGTCTCCGTCTTTCTCCAGCCCCTACATCTGCATACCATTCCAGACTCCGTTCCTGGGTCCTTGGACTTTCCTCTGGAAGCTCGGCATTCCTGCAACCCCAGCCATCATCTCTAAACTCAGGCCTACTTCTCTAATTATCTGCTGTCACCTGGGTTCCTGTTCCATATCCTTAGGCTCCATAAATTCCTCTTGAATGTGTCACTTAGCCTCAAACTGCAAACGTTCGAAATTGAACTCCTAACACATCAACAACAATGATACTATCATTTTTTCAGAATTCCAGGAAGGAGTCAGGTTTGACACAAGTCTCCCCAGCTTTCTCAGTAGCAGAAGCAGTGTGGTACCAGCAAGTTTTCCTGCATAATCTCTCTTAATGATTTGTTAAAAACACAAAATGTGCCGGGCATTGGTGGCGCACGCCTTTACTCCCAGCACTCAGGAGGCAGAGGCAGGCGGATCTCTGTGAGTTCGAGACCAGCCTGGACTACCAAGCGAGTTCCAGGACAGCCTCCAAAGCCACAGAGAAACCCTGTCTCGAAAAAAACCAAAAAAAAAAAAAAAACACACACACACACAAAATGTATTAACCCTATGCTGTAAGACACCACAAGACTCTTACCCTCAGGAAATGTAATCCACATAAGATGCAAAATGTAAAAGACACAGAGGTGGATGGCTTGCCTCACATTCACAGGGCCCTGTGTTCAGTTTTCTGCAACACAAAAAAATAAAACAGATCAAATGCATTGTCAAAGAACACTCTCATTCCTCCCAAACCACTGAGCGTCAGTCAGTCAGTCAACGACTTCTGGATGACATCAAAGCATGCTTTGCCCTGGCCAGCACTGTCCACTCTTGCTACGTCTGTCACGCTACTCATTTTCCTTTTCCTACTTCCAGGTCATTTGTGGATCCTATGCAAGGATATCCCCCATAATCCCCCACTGTTCCACACTGACCACTCTTACCCCTTGCCATCAGGATCCACCTCCCTAGTACCCTGTGTCCCTGGCAACTCAAGACTTTAAGCTCAGTACAAGCCTTCTTTTTTTTTTTTTTTTTTTTTCCGACAGGGTTTCTCTGTGGCTTTGGAGGCTGTCCTGGAACTCGCTTGGTAGTCCAGGCTGGTCTCGAACTCACAGAGATCCGCCTGCCTCTGCCTCCTGAGTGCTGGGAGTAAAGGCATGCGCCACCAACGCCCAGCCAGTACAAGCCTTCTTTTTTTTTTTTAACGCTTCACGAATTTGCGTGTCATCCTTGCTCAGGGGCCATGCTAATCTTCTCTGTATCGTTCCAATTTTAGTATATGTGCTGCCGAAGCGAGCACCAGTACAAGCCTTCTTATAAAGCCATCCCTGGCAGCCCTAAGTAGTTCCCACCCCTTTAACCTTCCATAGCTCTTGTAGCTCACGATTTAGCATTGTCAAATACAGCCTAATGATATGCATCGTGCTCAGGAGCAGCTTTTACCGTCCGTGTTTTTGTTTTGTTTTTCAAGACAGGGTTTCTCTATGTAGCCATGGCTGTCCTCAAACTCAAAATCTGCCTGCCTCTGCTCCCAAATGCTGGGATTAAAGGCCTGTGCTAACATTTTTTTGAACAAGGCATTAATTCCAATGAGCTATAAATTTGATATTTTAGTATTAATGGCTCAAATGTCTTATTTTAATGAGAAGAACTATTTAGTGATATTGTTTGGAAAGGAGCTAAAAAAACAAGTATTCACCACTTGAACAAACAATCCTACACTGTAAACAAAGATGAGTGATGGCCACATCTGTGATGGACTCCAAGCCCTCAGAGGCTGGGGAAGGTAGCCTGCAAGTACCATATGTCTCACTGACTCATGATAGATTCTCGGGAATGTGGAGTCATTACGTTCAGATGTGTACCTTTTAGTGAGCCGGCAGCCTCCACTGCACAGGCTCATACCCTTGGTCACAAAGATGGTCCTTGGTTTTTTTTGTTTGTTTGTTTGTTTGTTTGTTTGGGTTTTTGTTTTGTTTTGTTTTGTTTTTTCGAGACAGGGTTTCTCTGTGGCTTTGGAGGCTGTCCTGGAACTCCCTTGGTAGTCCAGGCTGGTCTCGAACTCACAGAGATCCGCCTGCCTCTGCCTCCCGAGTGCTGGGAGTAAAGGCGTGCGCCACCAACGCCCAGCTTAGATGGTCCTTGTTAAACCAAGTGGGTCACAAAACTAGAGGATATGAGCAAGGGAGGGGGAGGGACCAGCTACAGTGAGAAGACAAGGGAGTGTATGGAATGAAAGTAATTAGAATAAACTAGATACATTTATAAAATTGTCAAAGAACAAATTTAATTGATAAAAAGTTTAGGATACAGAAAAGGTTATTTTTCCATCTTGGGGTATGGAACTATAACATTATAAAAATATAATAACACTAATAAAATAAAAACAAAACTGAATAAAATAACTGACAAAGCAACATTTGTTATTATATACCATCTAATATGTAATATATACAAATGTAACACATAATAATTACATAGCTGTGTCATCTAATTTTAAGAAATTTCTATGATGTTAGACGACCCCTAACGCAAGAGTTTTGTCATCATGATGACAAGTGTCCTTAATTATGTATTTCATGAGCTGTTTTCTCAATCCAATCTAATAAAAGTATTTCTGTTTAATTTCCCTAGTCGCTATTTTTGCCTTAAGACATTTGAATCGTCTTATTTCTGCCATTCCCGTTTGGGGGTATGCTTTTCCTTCTCCACTCGACTTTGACTGTTCTGACTTCACACTCTGTGAGATAATCTTTCCACTTCATATTTCCTCTACCCTGAACTGAATAAGCCACTGATCTGCTTATGTCCCTAGTCTTCTCGTCATTTCATCCCCTCTTTGTATTGACTGACCCTCCCTCTTGTTTTGTGTAACAAGCTTACTGCATGTGCCTCCTCTTCCAAACCATTGACATAATGAATAAAATCGGTCCTACTATTGATCACTGGAACTTCGTGGCCCATCTATTCCGACCCGTTCCACACTTTGATATCAAAATCAATGTATAATCGACTTAAGTAGTTCATCCCTATGCTGTACTTAGCTAACGTTTAGATTCGTTGTTTGTCTAGTATCAGTTCATGGTACTTCATCTCAAAGTCTAAGGAACTGGTTCTTGGCTTCCTCAGCTGTTATTTATATTAGACTCTGCAATTATGTCATGACAATGAGGCAGATAAGATGAACTCATTCTGACTCTCTTTAAATTAAATCATAACTTTCTGGTGTTTTCAATTGTTGATTTCCTACAAAATCCACCAATTCTTTCTCTATAGATATTAATATTAGTAATTGTAAATCCTATACTTGGGGCAGGGGAGGGGGTATTTAGATAATGAACAATTTTTTATTATGCATACAGTATTTTTCCTGCATGTATGTCTGCAGGCCAGAAGAGGACACCAGATCTCATTATAGATGGTTGTGAGCCACCATGTGGTTGCTGGGAATTGAACTCAGGACCTTTGGAAGAGCAGTCAATGCTCTCAACCTCTGAGCCATCTCTCCAGCCCAAATGAACAATTTTTTAATGAGAGTTTTGTTTATTAAAACTGTCAAAGACATAAGATAAAACATTTCAAGACCCTTTTGTCTTTATGGAAGAATTTGAACATCTATAAAGAATCAGGAAGAAAATACTTGAATTACAATAGTGAAAACTCAGGAGTTATAATCCATAGAACTATACCTTTTTTAAAAAATGTTTTATTGTATGTAAATTATACTTTGATTTTTAAATTTTATGTGTATGAGTGTTTTGTCTGCATGTGTGCCTGGTGCTCCTGGAAGCAAAAATAGGGCAATGAGTCCTTTTGAACTAGAGCTACAGAGGGTTGTGAATTGCCACATGGATCCTTGGGATCAAACCAGGGTCCTCGGAAGAGTAACCAGTGCTCTCAACCACTGCCATCCCTCCAGCCCCTACTTTTTGTTGTTGTTGTTTGGTTTGTCAGGATAGGGTTTCTCTGTGAAACAGCCCTGGTTGCTCTGAAACTCACTTTGTAGACTAGGCTGGCCTTGAACTCAGAGATCTCCTACCCTTGCTTCCTGAGTGCTGAGATTAAAGGCATGTATCATCATGACTTGGCCAGCCCCTGTTTTTTTTTTTTTATAATGAGAGAAATAAATCAATAGATTTCTCACTCTCGAGGGCCCAGTTGAAGGGCTGGAGATGCTGCTCAGTATAGAACATCTATCTGCCCTGGGCACAATCCCTACCACTAAAAAATAAATGTAAACTGGGATAAACTACTTAAGTCAACTAAGCATTGATGTTGATATCAAAGTGTGAAGCAGTTTGGGATGGGTTAACCCTTAAAGTCCAGCCATCACGTAAGTTAAAAAGTTGACAAGTGGAAGGAAGAGTTGCTATGAGACCATCACAGGGGGCCTGGAGATGTAACTAACACACACATAGTGGCAGAGAGCATGGAACAGGTCTCTGGAGAGTATAACATTGGCTATTCATGTGGAAACCTTTAAAATTACATTTGCTTTTTTATTTACTATAGCGCATGCCCAGGTGGAACCAGGGGACAGCTTGCAATGGTTGGTGCTTTCCTTCCACAGTATGAGTCCCAGAGATCAAACGCAGGTGGTCAGGCTTGACAACAAGCACTTTTAGGCACTCAGCCACTGGCCCTGTGGAAACTACAAGAAGATAAACACATATAAGCACAAGCTCAGAAATTAGTAGCTTGAAAGTTTTTAAAAAATACATAAGGCAATGGACTGGAAAGAAGCAAAATCTCCTTAACCCTTGTTTAATATACACTAAAACCGAATGCATTAGAAGGCTGATTGAGTAAACAGAGTTCCCTGTAAACACACATACCTACATCTCCTGGAATACAACAGCGAGATAGTAGAAGAGACATGTGTGTGCATCTGCTTTGTCCCCCTGAAAGCAGAGAACCCTGTACATAGTAGGACCTCAGTAAATGTATTGGATAGATTGACATTTAACTTCTGCAGCTCAGTTACTCCTGATTTGTTTTGGTTTGGTTTTATTTGGCCTTTCTTTCCTCCTTCCTTCCTTCTTTTATTAAGATTTGTTGATTCTGTATTAAAAGTGCTGGTGTCAATGGAAGTCAGGGCACTGGCAAGCACATGGAACTGGAGCTAGTGATGGTTTCAAACTACCATGTGGGTGCTGGGAACCAAGCTTGGGTCCTCTGCAATAAATGCTCTGAACTACTGTGCCATCTCTCCAGACCTAGAATTTATTTATTTATTTATTTGTTTGTTTGTTTGTATTTATTTATGTTGTGTATTTTTTTGTTTGTTTTTCCACACTAGGTTTTTCTGTGTAGTCCTGGCTGTCCATCCTGGAACTTGCTCTTTAGGACAGGCTGGCCTCAAACTCAGAGATCCAAATGCTTCTGCCTCCCAAGTGCTAGGATTAAAGGCATGAACCAGGCCAGGTTTGAATTTGATTTAATTATTTATATAGGCGCATGTAAGCACAGGTGCCTTTGGAGGCTAGAAGAGGGCATTAGATTCCCTGGAGCTGGAGTTACAGGTGGTTGTGAGCTGCCTGATGTGGGTGCTGAGAACCGAACTCACCTCCTCTGCAAGAGCAGTTGATACTCAACCACTGAGCCATCTCTCCTGCCCTAGTAAGGCATTTTTAAAGATGTCCCTAAATTTGAGTCATCTGATATTTTCATCATGTCCAGACTGTGTCATCGGTTTTGGGTCCTGACTTATTTTTATACTCAGCAAATGTCAGTGCTTATTTTCATGGTTACATTAACCATTATGGACTTTAAGTCCACAGAACATCATTTAAGCAAAAGGGACTAAATTAAATCAGTTGAGCAAGATCATATAATTAGAGTGAGTTTTTCTGATTTGAGATACAGTTCTCACATTACTGTCTCAAAAAAGGGCAACATCAAAATCACTTCATGTTTAAAAAAAATTTATTTAAACTTAGAAAATGACAGTGCTCATTGCCCAAGTTCCTCTTGAAGCCATGAGACATTAGTCTTCTTTCTATGCATATATATTTTCTTTTGTAAAAACTGGATTATAGACATATGCTAATTTTAATTAGCTGTTAAATTCGAATATTTCATTTATACCCTCCTATAAAACAAACATCTCTGGCATCACTTTTAATGCTTGTATAAATTTCATGGCATAGATATGTTATTTAATATACTTATAGCTAACCATTTGTCCAGATCTGTGCAAACTTCCAAAAGTCTAAGGTTAAATGCCTTTAGGTATACTTCTAGGTTTCTTTCATTCTTTTTTCTGCTTATTGCTTGATTCTGTGTTTTGAAATTAGGCCTCCCTGTATATGCCAGACTTACTTTGAACTCGCTGTGTAGCTCTTGACAACCTACACTCACAACCCTTCTGCCTCAGCCTCCCTAACACACCTGGCTACCAACTCTATTTTTACTTTTATTTCTGGCCAATTTGATGTCATCACAAAATCAATGTACCCCTACCTCCTTTTTTGTTGACTTTGACTACAAAGTAAATGAGGGCATTTTTACAAGGTTAGGACCTTTTGTGTGATATTCTTTATTAAATTTTATTTCATTGTATTTTATGTGTATGAGTGTTTTGCTGCATGTATGTTTGGCCACCACCTGTGTGCCTGGTACCCGCAGAAATTAGAAGAGGGCATCAGATCTCCTGGAATTGGAATTATAGACAGTTGCGAGCTACCTCATAGCCTGGGTAATGAGGAGCCATCTCTCCAGTCCCCATCATTTTCTTCTTGAAGTGGCATTAAATTTTCTCTCTCAATGATGTCTTCATATTTGAAGGTGTGGCACTAGAGACATTTGTTTTTTGGTCTGTGGAGGAGTTTTGGGGGGTTGGTTGTTTGGATTTAAGGTTACTCTGGTTATTAGCAGTTTTTTTTTCTTTTTACATTTTTATTTGTTTTGTTGCAGGGGCATGCAGACTCAAAGGACAATGTGTGGGAGTTGGTTCTCTCCTACCATGTGAGTCTAGGTATCAAACCCAGGTCATTGCACTCGGCTACACGCACCTTTAGCTCCTAAGCCATCCCAACAGTGCCTTGCTTTGGTTTTAGTGTGGAGCTCAGTTCTGAATCTCAGTCCCCTCAGGACAACCACTGAGCCCTCAGGTCCTGCAGGGCAGCAGCAAGGCCATGGTCCACTGGTGCTTTCTTCTCTCTCTCCTCTCTAACGAAGCAAAGTCCTGCTCACCACAGCTCCAAGCTTTAGCAAAGAAGAAAAATGACAAATTCAAAAGCTCACTGTCTTGACAGATCCAGGCTGCATCTGACCCCCAAAGAAACACATGCCAAAGGTAGTAATAACTCTTTGTTTTTGTTTTGTGTGTGTGTGTGTTTTGTTTGTTTGGTTGGTTGGTTTTGTGTTTTCGAGACAGGGTTTCTCTGTGACTTTGGAGGCTGTCCTGGAACTAGCTCTTGTAGACCACGCTGGTCTTGAACTCACAGAGATCCGTCTACCTCTGCCTCCCCAGCGCTGGGATTAAAGATGTGCACCACCACCACCTGGCAACTCTTCCTTTTAAAAAGCCCATCTTTTCTACAGTTAGCTCCAAACCTTTATAATAGCCTTGGTCTTGGTGCTGTGGTAAATAAGGATTCCCAGCCCACTGGCTGTGAGCTTCCTGACCATCCAGACCTGCTTTCAGAGCAAGGAATTGGTTCCAGAGCTCTCAAGCCCAGCTTGGGGAAGTCAAGATGTCTCTACCCGTTTCTTCTCCTCTTCACTTCCGTTTTAGGACATTTAAAATAATGACAACTTGAGGATAGATGTCAAGACTGAAAATTAACAGAAAGATTCAAAAGAAAGATTCCTCTTATCTACTTGTTAATTTTTGATTTTTCGATACAGGTTTCTCTGTGTAGCCCTGGCTGTCCTGGAACACCTGCCTCTGCCTCCTGAGTGCTGGAATTAAAGGTGTGCACCACCAACACCCAGCTTGATTCCTCTTTAAAAAAAAATGTTTAACACCAAAAGCTTTGCATTAAATACAAGAAAAAGGAAACTAGAGGCAAAAGAAAAGCCTGGATTAGAAACTGTATAATCTGTTCCCTATTGCTGTGACAAACACTGTAACATGAGTTCTAATGGGTCTTAATAAAAGCCCAGAGTCAAATATTAGGGGTGGAAGCTGAAAGATGAGAGAAGCAGAGAGCCAGCAACTAGAGTTCTTACATCTACAAAATCCTCAGACTGAAAAGTGACTGAGCTCCTGTCTCCTCCTGCCTACATTCCTGTCTCTGCCCAGCCATCTCACTTCCTGTCTATCTTTACAGACCTCTATGGTTAGCTGGTGGCTAGCCCTGCCTCTGATCTTTAGGCAAGCTGCGTTTGTACAAACAAGGTATCACCACAAAACACCATTAGCAAAAGCAGCTTGAGGGGGGGGTAAAGGGTTGTCTCCTCACACAGCTCACATCATGAAGGAAGTCAGGGCAGGGACTTGGAGGCAAACTGAAGCAGGAGCCATGAAGGAACACTGCTTATTAGCCTGCTCAGTTTGCTCTCTTCTACACCCCATTGCCTCCTGACCAGAGATGGCTCTGCCCACAGTGAGCCTGCACTTTCCACATCAGTCTAGAAAATGCCCCCCGAGATGTACCTTCAGACCAATCCTGATGATCCTAACTTGTGTTAAGTTGAGCCAAAAAACCCAGAAAGAGTAAATGTAATTTGCTTCTTTATATAATTTGATAAGAATTTGGAGCTGGGGGGATGGCTCAGTGGGTTCAGTGCTTACTGTGTAAGTATGAGGGCCTGAGTTCAGATGCCCGGCACCCCCATAAAAGCTGGTGTGGTGGTGTGCATGCAACCCCAGCACCACAGAAACAACTGGTTCCAGGACTTGCTGGCCAGTTAGTCTAGTCCAAACAGTAAGCTCCAGATTCAGGGAGAGGGCCTGTCTCAAAAACTGAGGCGGACAGTGACTGAGCAAGACCCTAGCCTCTGACCTCCTCATGCAAGGGCACACAGACATATGCCTCCATCACACACAATTTAAGAAGAAATACAAATTGGCCAAAACTGTATACATTGATGGTTTACAACTTGGTGTTTTGAAATATGTACATATCATGAAATGATAAATTAAGAAAATTAACATATGCATTACTTTATAAACTTATCTTTTCCCTTTTTTAATTAATTGAGGACACTTAAAATATTAGGACTTAGGGCTGGCAATATGGCTCGGTGGGCTTGTCGGTAAGACTAATTAATGAGCTAAGTACCCACATAGTGGAAGGGGTTAACAGACCCCACACACACACACACACAGGACCCACAGGGTGGAAGTAAACTAATATCCCCCACACACAAGCACAATTAGTTTTTTAACATAATAAAATGTTTAAATCTACTGTGTTAGCAGTTTTCAAGCATACAGTCCACTGTTAGTAATTACAATCATCATGCTGTACAGTGAATCTGCACTTACCCCATCTAATCAAAACTCTGCATCCTTTGGCCAGCATCTCCCCACTTCTTCCTGGCTCAGCCCCTAGTAACCACCATTGCACCCTTCCTATACGACCAGCCTCCTTAATTGCATATATGTGAGGTCACATAGTAGTTATCTTTCTATGCCTGGCTTGTTTCACTTAGCATAATGTCCTAGAAGTGGGTCTAATTTCTAAAGCTACAAATTAGAAACAACTCAACATTCTTCCAGAAAACCCAGGCCACACCACTGATTACAGAAGGCTCCAGCCCAGATCTGGCTCAATGATACTGTATTACAGAAGCATTTTCTTGAGCACTTATAAACTGCCTGCATTTTAGAGTTCCTTTGTCGGCGACCTTACTTTGCCATCCAGTTTCAATATTAATGCAGCATGGAAGGAGAGAAGGAGGGATGCTCCTGTTCAAGCTGAAGCTGGGCTCTGGGCCAGGACCCAGAATGCGTCTGGGCATGTCTAAAGGGCTTGCCAGGAGTCTCTCTGCGGGAGGGATTGAGGAGGCTCACAGAAAATAACATCCTAAGGCAGTGGGTGTGGGGCTACATCACAGTTTTCAGAGTCACCAGGGAAACTTAGAAAAACAACAGCTTCCTGCGCAAGTATATCCCTCCTTCCAGAAAACTCTCTCTTGTTCTCAGACTCTCTCATTCCTAACCGTCCCACCCCCTAGGTGCACAGTAGCAATAGTACCCACAGTAGTTAGTATCAGACTCGGCCCTTAGACCGTGTACACATCAGGCCTCACAGGCGGGCTAAAAGCTCCAGAAAAAAATAGGCTTCTCTCCCTAAAAGCTCTCCAGGCTCTAATGGAGCAAGCCTGCTGAGTGAATATCGTTTAGTTCTGCAGAGGCTGCCTCTATCAGGACTTCTTAATGTGACCACAGACCCTGGGCGGTTCAAGACTAGGCACAGGAATCCATGAACCCCTAAATGGCACGCTGTTTCCTTCTCTGTTGCGTTTCATCGGGTTATAAAGAGGGTGTGACTCTCCAGCTGCCCTAGCAACTGCCAAAAAACATTAGTGAATGGATTTTTGTAAGATCATGAAAATGTTACTGTGGCAAGTATTAGCCAAGCAATGCTGCTGTTTCAATTAATTTGATTTTTTTTCACTTTGACCTGGCAAGACATTAGTTACATGAAAACTATGAAACTCTCCCCTGTGCTTCAAACTTAGTTGAAATGCTTCTACCTAACCCAAACCCACTGCTTCCTCTTCGAAGTCTCCCTACTCCTTGCGACACCTAACCTTTACCTGGTGTTTTAGATATGAATGCACATGTCCTGTCTCATAATTATAGCCTCTGAGAGTGGGAAGTGTGTCTTGCACATCTTCCTTCTACTCACAGTTTCCAGAGTAATACACGTACCTCATTATCAGATGAAGGAGCAAATACATTGTAAGTCTATTAGAGTTGCCAGGCCTTTATGAGAAAAAAAAAAAAAAAACTAGCTCTGTTCCTACGCCCATTGTACCTTTAAAATACATTCCTTTTAATTGGTAGTGTCTTACTCTATTAATTTACCTAGTTAGTTATCACCCATTGTTTGCCTGTATTTTCTGTTTACTTGGGTGTGAACCTCTCAGGGGTCCAGACTATATATAAATCTTCACACCTTTTGTGAGGGACACATGGAGCCGACCATGTTGCATCCTGGTGTATGTGTGTCTCACAGCATGGACACACCTCGGGGGCATGTTTCATAAAAGACAGAGCTATATGGGACAGAGACTGGGAGAGATGGGAGAGAGACTAAAACACAGCTGTTAAGATAAGAATTAAGCAAAAGAGTCAAATCATCAGACTCTGGAGTTCTGTTCAGAAAGGGAAACAAGCCAAAGGGAGAGGCCTGAACCTGTCTGTAGGAGAAAGTAAACATGAAGGCGGCCCAGCTTGAGAGGTGGGTGTGACTTGGCAGCAGAATTAGGGTTTTGGAATTGGCACCACTGCAGGCTAGGCAGGAGGTGCCAGGTAGCTTGAGGTTTTGTCATTGTTGTTTTGTTTTAACCCTATCACCCTATTTGGTCTATTCCAGATTTGTGTCAGAAACTTCTGATTGCAATCATTATCTGCAACAGGAAAAAGAAATCACATCAGTGAGATTGATTTTAGTAGACTGTTTTCAAAATCCAACAGGAGTAGATGAAGGTGCCTTACTGGTTCCCAGAGGCACTCAGAGAGACCTAGCAACTTTCTCCTTTTTCTCCTCTTCAGTTTAATTCTATGTTGACTGGTTTATTCAGCCCCCCCCCACACACATGTCAATGCACACTCAGCTCCATACAGTGTCTCCAGTGATTGTGTGATTTGTTGAGCATTTCAGTTTAGTGACTGAAGTGTGTTACACAATGACCTTAATGGAGATGTTAATTAACCTGGACAGAGTCCCCACTGTCAGACCAACTATTCCATGGTCAAGGATCAAACTAGGGAGAGCAAAGTTTCAAAAGTTGAAGTCAAAGCCGGGCGTTGGTGGCACACACCTTTAATCCCAGCACTCCAGAGGCAGAGGCAGTCGGATCTCTGTCAGTTCGAGGCAGCCTGGTCTGCAGAGCGAGTTCCATGACAGCTTCCAAAACAATACATAGAAACCCTGTCTGGAGCCACAAAGAAACGCTGTCTCGAAAAACCAAAAAAAAAAAAAAAGAAACCCTGTCTGGAAAAAAAAAAGTTGAAGTCAAGCTCTTTGTTAGCTACCCATAGAGTAGTGTTGGGGGATGTCCTTCTGTATATATGTTTCTCTTATTGACTGATGAGTAAAACACTTGTTTGGTCAATAGAGAGGGCGTGGGAAGAGATGCCATGTAGCTGAGAAAGGAGTGGTCTGGGAATTCTCTGGTAAGCCAAGACCACATGAAAATACATAGATTAGTAGTTATGGGCTAATAATTAAGAGAGAACTAGCCAATAAGAAGCCCTAGACATCAGCCAACAGTTTTATAATTAATATGTCTCTGTGCTCATTTGGAGCTGAAGCAGCAGGACCAGGCTGACAAAGAAACTCCAGCAACAGAATAGATTCTATATAAACCCACCCAGACAGCAGCCTTGGGGCCCAGGTGTAAATTAGGGTCTAATGCAGCTAGAGAAATTAATATCACATTATTCATTTATCTTATCACACGTTTAAAGTATTCATCTGTCATTTTAAAAGCTTATATTAAGTTCCTTTGTGTGGCTCCCATCATTAAACCAAACAAAGATCCCGTCCTAGGAAGTTTACATACTAATGGGAAAGAGTCCTAGACACCAAGTGTCAATTCTTGGAATAGTTTGTATCTACTCTAAGGCTGAATCTTTGGAAGTTAGTATCATTCTGTCCCTGGATTTTCATCTCTGGACCCAAAATGACATTTGTCCCATCCCTGGAATGTTGGGAAAAATCTCTGTATCACTGGGCTTCAGCTCCACCTAACCCTTCCCCCATGTAAACGTGTGCATGTGCTAACAGTATGTGTCTCCTCACCTCAGCCTTGGGTTCCTAGGTTCAGACCATTAGCGAATCTCTGGTCATTGGGAAAGTCATCCAAACAGAGACTGGAAAAGTGTGTAAAGGGACTGAGTTCTCAGCCCAGGAAACACAGAAAAACTAAGGGGCTTCTCAGTATCACACAGGAAGCCTAGAGGTATGTGTTGACCCCCTTCCTCTCAGCCTAGTGTGTTTCTATCATATATTCATGCCCCACCCACCCACACCCAGACACATGATTTACTATTTGGGATGTAACAGGTCAAAAGAGCAGGACCAGGGCCAGGGCCAGGGGAACCCATGCTTGAAAATAACAAAAGAAGGACCAAATATCTGTTTCTACTGAAATCCACCTTGGACTCTGTATTGGAGCTCCTTGATATGACATCACCCCTACCACCTCAAATGAGACTAAAGCAATGCGTACTTGCTGGTGTGTTGTCCTGTGGAATCTTCAGTGGTTACAAGCCAAGCCACAATTACATTAAATTAAAACCAGGGAACAATGTTCCATGAATGAATCTGCCTTTATGCTTTTAGATTTTTTTTTCTCACTTTACTAGGATGACCCAGCTTTGAAAGGTTCCAATATTGTCACATTGGGACTGATCTAAGAGGCAAGAACTTTCCCAGATGTCACTTACTGCTACTGGAGACCATTGGCCTGAGCCGATGGTGCTGATGAGTATGGGACACAGACAATGGAACCCATGAATTTGTTCTTGTCTCTATTGACATTTCCTCAAAACAACAAACTACCAAACCTAAAGTTTCATTCGAAAGCACCGTATGCGTCAGTCACCTATACACATTGAGTACTCTGAACGGTCCTCACCAGCTAGTTAATTGGCAGTTAACCAGTGTTTCCCATCACAGTTAACTTCTTCACATACCAGTTTTATGACTTAGGACAAGACGGCTCTTCTGAGCCTTGCACTCTCCACTCCTGAAGGAGAAATGGTAATACCTGCCCTAGTTACATCTCCAGGTTGAGAAAATTATGAGATCAAACACAGGGAAAAAAATTTAAACATGGTATTGCTATGCAGCCCTGGCTGTCCTGGAACTCACTCTGTAGACCAAGCTGGCCTCAAAGTCAGAGATCCACAGGACTCTGTCTCCTGAGTGCTGGGATTAAATGCTTGCACCACCACCACCCAGGAAAAAATTCAATTTTTTTTAGGTTTGTTTTATGTTTGTGGGTATTTTGCCTCTATGTGTGTTTATGCACTACATGTGTGCCTGGTGTGAAGGGATGTCAGAAGCAGGATGTCAGAGCCCTTGAAACTGGGGTGATAGGTGGATGTGAGCAACCATGTGCGTGCTGGAAGCTAAACTCAGCTCTTCTGCAAGAACAGGTGCTCTTAACCACTGAGTGATCCCTTCTGTGGGAACACCAGACCTTGAACAGAGACCCACTTCCCCTTCTGCCTGGGAGTAGGCAGCTGTAAGACAATGTTTAGTAAAAACATGTTTACTAAAAACGATACAATAAGTTCCTGGAAAAGGCCTTCCCACGGAAACCGCCCTGACCTCGACCTTGTCCAAAGACTAACCGCACCTTCAAAAACCCACACATATCCACCTCTGGTGTCAGAGAGCAGAACCAGCCAGGGTAGAGGAGAGAGCAGAAGCTTCTCTGGTGGGAGCTTTTCTTAGGAGGTTTTCTTGAACCTTTTTGGAGCCTGTTTAAAGTTTTCTTTATATCGTTGAACGAGTCTCTGTGTTGTCAATCCCCGACACCCTCCGCACGTTCTCGGACACAGGCCGCGCAGCAGACGTGACAATTGGAGGTCCCACCGAGATCGTGAAAGCGAGGTAAGTGGACGGGGTTAAGAAACTATGGGGAATAGTTCCGGGAAGCTAGAATCATTACAGTATCAACTAAAAAAGTTACTTAAAGAACATGGGACTGCAGTCAAGTCTAAAACCCTAGAAGGCTTTCTAAAAT